AAAAAAAAAAAAAAAAAAAAAAAAATGGGTATAAAGGACAGCACCCCTCCTGGCATGTGTTACTTTTCATTGCTTCAAGTGGCACAGGTCTCTTCCTGCCTGTCGTTTAAGGAGAGAACACCACATCCCAGTGCTGCCCTCTGGCTCCCACACCACTAATACAAGGCCAGAAAAGCTCCCAGGCCTCCAGTTATGGGGGAGGGGACCGTCTTTATTGGGAGGCGCGCTCACCTGCCTCCCTCACTGCAGACGGTAGACACACTCGGTGTCAGGGTAGGGTGGCAGGTTCAGCTGGTACTTCTTTTCCAGGGCAGGTGGTACAAAACGACCCCCCAAGTAATGGTAGCGGCCGGTAAACTGGGTTGCAGACTTTTTGGGTGCTGTCAAAGAGATGAGCATGTCTGGCTGGATCCCTCCAGAGTTTCCTTTCTCCACATCCCATCCTAGAAAAAGGTTATTATTCAAGAAGCGTGGAAGAGGTCACCGATCCAGACCCCTTCTACGGTTTGCTTCATGCTCGTCCTAAATCTCATCATGACGAGCTTATCCTAGGCACAGAATGCCTCTTTGGGCTTCAGTCTTCATGAGGCCAATGTGGAAAGGGGCTCCCTGAACTTTGTTCCCCAGCCCTAATAAGAGACCTGGAAAGCTGTGTTCTTCCCACCTAGACTCAAGTTAATTAGACCTGATCTGAGCTGTCTCAAGAGTCAGGACTCCTGGGTGCCAGTTCTCGAGACGGAGTAGGTCCCGCACCTGAGGGAATGTCAATGCTGGCGATGGGCACAGTGAGTTCATTCAGGATGCTCAGGACGCTGCGGAACGGCTCACGAACATCGCCTTTGAAGCTGAAGCCAAAGATGGCATCTACCACCAGCTCATACAGCTCATCGATCACCATGGGCTGCGGGAGGAAGAAAAGGGTGTCGGCTGGCAGCTTGAGAGCTGTTTACTCACAGGGCCCTCGGAACAGTGCAGCTCTACTCTACCTCACTTAGAGGGCTCTTCAGGTCTAGAGTGAGGGGATCTGGTCACTGATTCGGGAAGGGCTAAGTCTAGACACTTTTTGGCAGGGCTGTACTAGAGGCTGTAGAACCCAGGAGAGCTCTGCCACCAAGCACATCCCCAGCTTGCCACACTTCAAACTATTTTAAAGACGGTCTTGTTAAGTTGCCCAAGCTGGGCTCCAAGTTGTGATCCTTCTGCCTCCGCTTTCCAAGTAGCGGGGATAACAGATGTGTACCAAGCTCAGCCAAATACTGAATGTCTGCTTGCCACTGGGAAGGTGCAGTGTGTTAGGGGGCTGGACTCTGGTCTCTGTGACACAGGCAAACCACTTTTCTGCACTTCAGTATTTTCATCTGTAAAATGTGGTGAGAAAGTCTACATCTCAGATTGCCCGACTCTGAATCCACCATCTGCGGGAAGAGGCCCCGGAGAATGACGTGCAGCCTGCGTGCGCACTAAGGAACTTCTGACTGCAGAGGGGAAGGAGGGCCAGGCGAAGGAAGCTTTAGAGGCGGTGGTGTTGGAGACTTGGGAAGAATAACTCGTGGGAGAAGAGGGGCTCTTGCACCACTTCCAAAGGCGCCTTTCGCGCTGGGCTCCGGGTAAACGAGCTCCACCTCGAAACGGGAGCCGAGCATGGTCGATGGCGCCGCGAGAGAGGCCTGAGCCGACCACTCACCTCTGAAGGCATTTCGCCCAGGAAAGGGATGTCCATTTTCTGACACTGAGTCACCAGCGCAGTGAAGAGCGGTTTGTTAGGTGTCTTGGGGTAGTAGACGGTTGGTTGGTAGCCCTAGGAGAAGAGGACGGCGGCGACTCGAACGCGGGCCCCGTGGGCCTCGCGCCGCGCCCGCAGCTTGCGCTCCCGCGGACTC